AAAGTGGAAACCTAAGTTGGTGGGAGCTGGGATGTACGTGTGTAGTCAAAGGACTTACTCTGTGCCGGGTACCCATCTAAGTGTTGAAGCTGTATTAATTCATATAATCCCCCAACAACGCTCAAGTTTGTACCCTGATTATGGAGATGAGGCAAAGAGAGGTTAAACAACTTGCCCCAGGTCACATAGCAGAATTTGAACCTCTGCAGAGGTGTGGCCCAGAAACCACGCCCTACACAGCCTCACAGAGATAAGCAGGCCCTTCTGCACCGAACCCCAGGGGATCTCAGGACTTGGGATATTAGGGAGCTCTGAGGTGGGGCTGGGAATGGAACTGGTGGAAAGTCTGTATGAAGAGACAGACCCTCAGCCTCCTTGCTGTTTTACCCAGGCCAGGCAACTAGCCCTCTGCCCCGGGGAGGATACCATCAGTGTATTCTCTGAGGAGTTACCCCACTGAGGATGAAGTGAGACATACATGAAAACAGGAGAATTCCCGGAAAGTCTGTGAAATGACCAATGAGGCTGCTCGGACCCCTTTCCCATTCAGCTCCCAGGGAGATCCTCCGGCCACCAAGAGAAGACACACAACACGGACATTTGAAGGTCCCCAGATAAAATCATTGCCTCACCAGTTGATGAGCCTTGCCTGCCCATGTACCCAGGGCTCACACAAGCTTCTAGCAGCTTTTTGGTATCTTCCTTTTTTCTCCACCTACATTTTTATTACAGAAAAATGTAAATATACAGAGAAGTAGAAAAAATACTGTGACAAACACCCATATACCCACCTCTTAAATTCTGCAGTTGTTAACATCTTAACACACTTGCTTTCTCTTTAGGTGCAGGTGTGTACATATACTGTTTTTTTGAACCATTTGAAAGTGAGTTGCAGACATTACAATATTTTACCTCAGCATATTTCAGTATCTCTATCCAAAGAATAAGAATCTTTTCGTACATAACCAAATTCATATCACACCTAAGAAAATTTAAAATAGTACCCAAATATATTCTAATATTCAGTCCATATTCAAATTTTCCTCGTCTCTAGAATGTCATTGTATTTGGTCACTATGTCTCTTTA